CTAGTTATACATCTTTTTTCATCTACTTTCAAATATTGCTGTTGAAAAATTCCTAACTTTACTTGTTTTTGAGATATCGGTGGTGGACCTTTTTACCCGCAAACCTTTAAGCTCCGCTCTACCCTATGCAACAGAATAGAACAAAATAGACAGAACTTCAGTTTTGTGTAAACATCTAACATAATAATAATGAATGAATTTGACTCGCATATCTCTCTATTTTTATAACTGCTTCAATAATTTGGCTTGAAATATACTAAGTATCATTGGATTATTAGAGTTATCATTAATATATTTGTTACTATTACGATTTTCAATGATTTTTATTATTTAACTTTACTCATTGATACATTTGAGCACTCATACTTTTGTATTTATTAATTTATTAATCTTATTTCAAAATGGTACATCCTGGTTTAAATATTTATAACCCATGATCATAAAATGATTCTTAAGACAATTGACTTGTTATATTACAATTCAATATTACGAAATTAAATTATATTGTTTTTCATTTATGATTGTGAAGTTCTGTAACACCGCGCTCTGCATACAATACAACCTGCATGTAATTATTCCACAATAAATATTTGCTCAAAAGATACATTGTTGCTGTAACTATAACATATATTTGCTTAATCTAATAAAATATTTGAGATTACCGTTTTAAATCCACTTTAAATAGACACAGTAGTAGACTATAGAAATAATTTATTTTTACTATTCACTATTACTTTGTGGGAATATTCTTTTTTTGAATGATGAATTATAATCTCTGTTTTTGAGAACATTTTTTTTTATTTATTTGAATAGCTATCAAAACTATTCTTCTGTTCTGTTATTGCTTGTAATGATACTTATATACTAGTTCACTTTTTAGAATATAACTCAAATGTTTGTATAAAAATAATTTAAAAAATAAAGTAGCGATTACCAGCTATAATTCCTGGATTTTCTAAAATTGGTTTTCTTGGTTTGTCCAAAATAGTCACAAAATACATGCAACGATTATTATTGCGATTTTCTGTAATATTTTTATCCTGTATTGACTTGTTCCAACGTCATATCGTTTCAAATAGTACAAGTTTATTGACAGAAATTTGGCAAGTGAAACTGTGTAGATAATAACTATTTCAAGAAATGAATGCATTCAAAGCATAAATAATAATTGTTTTAGTGTTCAGAATTAAAATTTAGATCAAAATACAATCCTGTATTAATTATTGGTACGTATATATTTAATTACAATGGGATGAGAATAGAATTCTCGAAATACGAGTACTTTCTCTAAAATTTCCACGCGCGTATTTGTGTTTACTTCAGGTGGAAACAGCGTTAATTGCGACTTCATTTTATATGTGACACTCTAAGAATGCAATAACTAGTTCATAAACTAATTTGTGTTAAGGATGACTAATCTTCTTAACATCTTAAGCAACTTAATAACAATCGAAAATATATTTCTTATCAAGTTTTCTCAACTTATTCTCGATCGATTTCAAAAATTCAAGTTTGACCCTTGTTTGATGATTAACAGATAAAAATTTAATTTTTGTCTTTCTGAGTAATTCGTAAAATGATTTGAAAAATTTCAAATTGAAATGGAAATGCGTTAATTAGTTTTGTGTAAAAACATAAATTAAAACGTTTCCTAATTAACTGTTAATTAGAAGTTAAAGATTCGTAATTGAAAATATTGTTGTTTGTAATTTTGTGAGTTCGAAAACTTTACTTGATCTCAATTATTGTTGATCAACTCACAAATTTTCACGTATCGGAAAGTCCATTCAACATGCTCAAAAGCTCAAACAGTTACATCTTGTTAAATATTATTATTGTCTATTTTGTACTGCATGTGAATTTTTACATTTTTGCAGTGTACAATGTACATCGTAAAATAGAAATTACACAAAATATTTTTTTCCACACTTTGATATTATTCTTTATCAACTTATTAATTTTCAATTTTTGTAGAAACTGCATGTATATAAATAAATATTAATTACTTTTTAACTTCCCGTAGGGTAAGGTATAGTAATCGCAACAAAATTGAAACAAAATCGAAACTTTTTATATATTTTTACGCTTCAATGGTTTCTGAACATTTTGGCATACCTTACAAAAATTTGATTTATGTGTGTTTGTATGTGTATGTATGTGCGGATACAAATTTTTGTTGACGATTTCGTGAACATTCGATTCGTATTGATGGGAAGACGTGCTGAGTAGTTTTTAGCAAAGGCAGTGCCAAAAATGGTAATTCAGGTTTTGAGATAACGGATAGTCCGATTTGAATGATTCAATTTTTTTGTATCAACTCATTAATTTTCAATTTTTGTAGAAACTGCATGTATATAAATAAATATTAATTACTTTTTAACTTCCCGTAGGGTAAAGTATAGTAATCGCAACAAAATTGAAACAAAATCGAAACTTTTTATATATTTTTACGCTTCAATGGTTTCTGAACATTTTGGCATACCTTACAAAAATTTGATTCATGTGTGTTTGTATGTGTATGTATGTGCGGATACAAATTTTTGTTGACGATTTCGTGAACATTCGATTCGTATTGATGGGAGGACGTGCTGAGTAGTTTTTAGCAAAGGCAGTGCCAAAAATGGTAATTCAGGTTTTGAGATAACGGATAGTCCGATTTGAATGATTCAATTTTTTTGTATCAACGGAGTGAAGCACTGATTTAATTTTTGCAAGGCAGGTCTAGCTGTTTTGAAGATCGGATATTATTATAGAGATTTTAATATTGCCTTCTATTAATATTTTGTCTTTATAAAGCTGACAGGCGCGATTGCTTTGAACAAAAGTTCAAAATTTTCAAAAAAAAAAAAAAAAAAAAATTCTCAAATCTATTTTTTTTTTCAAAAAATTCGAAAAATTTTGAAGCTTTTAAAATTTTCAAATTACATTACGGAAAGTTTCAGCAATTTGTCTAAGGCACGATGCCATGCACCACTAGTTGTAATTTGGCTCTTGAAAATGCTTGTTGATTCGCGAGGCGTTCGCCTCATCCCATTTGACGCAAAACCCGGCGTGTGCTTGAGTTGAGCATGGGCGATCGATATGTCTCGCATTTACGCGTTTTGCATCAAACATTTACAAAACGAGACGTGTTTGAACAACTGAATAGCCAACCGAGATTTAGATACTGAGAAAAATCTTTTCTGCAAACTATTTTGTTATAATATTCTATTAATTAATGCTATCATTATATTTTTGTAATATATGAAACTATAGGCAAAGCAAGCGGCTTTTTTTGAAAAAAATTAATAGTTACTGAAAAATTTGATTATATTTATTAAGAATGAAGTAATAACAAAAACAGCACAGAAGTATAGAAACAATCTAATCAATCACCCAAATACATTAGCAAACTCATTGATAACAGAGAACTATCGAAGAAGATTGAAAAGAAAAGCGCCACTGGATTTAAGCCATCAACTCTCCTGAAAAAAAAATGGAAATAACTTAATCATTATTTATAAGAAATTATTTAATAAGTAAATATTGTGAATTTTATATCGAAAAAACAACTACTGAGTTGTTTTTTCCAACAAGTCAAAGTAGTATACAATGTACCTTTTCGGCGGACTATTGTAAATCCATTAAATTTACTGAATGTCCTATACTGGACAGTTGTAAATAAAAGAGTTAATAAAAAAAAATTTATTAAGAATAATAATAACTAGTGGGGTGCCTGGCATCGTGCCTTAAGGCAGCAAATTGCTGGAACTTTCCGTACCGTAATTAAAAATCTTGGTATGGAACCCAAAAAAAATTACTCAAAATGTGTAAACATTATTAAAATCTCTATAAAATATCTGATAATTTGATGTACATGTGTCCAATAAACATTTTTGACCGCCAAATGACATTTTTTTAACCTTTTTTTTATTGAGAGTCCATAACCGCTGGACCTGTCTTCCCAAAAATTTAATCAGTTCTTCATCTTGTCAATACAAGTAAAATGTTTTTTGAATTATTAAAATCGGACGCTGCGTTCTCTTAAAAACTGAGTTGCCGTTTTTGGCACTTTTTGCCTCGTATCTTCGGAACGGCTAGACCTGCCAAAAACTAATGTTTTTTGAATTATTCAAATCGGTTGATTGCTGTTCCCGAAATCGTCGACGAAAATTTGTATCCGCACACACACATACATCCATTTTTTTTCTGAAGTATGCCAAAATGTTCAAAAACCTTTGAAACGTAAAGATATATAAAAGTTTTCATTTTGGATATTTTGCGATTACTAATAATGAATAGTTTAATAACTTTGACAAAACAATGAGTTTGAAACTTATTTTATAACTGTATGGAACCCTATATATTAGTTAATCTGTCAATATATAAACATTTTAAATTTTTGAAAATTGTCGGAAGTTTCATTCGTACAGCATTTTTTCTCTCAAGACTAGGACTTATGGTAAAATTATGAATTTTAAATAAACTTATGAAAATAATCATAAATTTTTATTTGTGTAACGTCCGATTATTAGAACTCAATCATAAACCTTGTTTGTAACTTTTTACCTGGGTATGACAGACTCAATAATAATAATACTGACTAAACCTCCACTTTTCTCTTGCAATTGGGATTTCTTACAACCTCCATTCATTATTTTATGGATGAAGGTTGCAAGAAATAAGATCATTCGTTTTCTTTAACTGAGGCCCTTTGCTCTTGCAAGATTGCTGGTGGCGTTCAGAGAAGCCTTCCATGTCGACATCTCTTCCATTAGTGAATTGGTGTAATTCCCTTACTCAAAACTGTTTCAAATTTCAACCGATGCGCACTAAAACGTGGGCACACTAAGAAAACGTCCTTAGTGATTTCAGTCGCGAATAAACTTAATTTAATAAAATTAGGAGAGTAATTTATTTATTAAAACTGAATGCTACAGACGGATGTGTGTATATATATATAAATAAGCCTATGAACGAATGCCAGAAAATAATATTAAAAATGAATATTATTTTTATAGGAAGGAGATTTCATGCATTTGAACACGAATTCAGACTGGATTTGGGAGTGGAGCTCAAGACCCGATCAAGTTCCGCCAAAGTGAGTTTTCGCTAATCATTGAAAAGTTTATTTTTTAATCTTTCATAACACTTATTTATATATTCAGCAACATTTGTGTGTTTGTAATATTTATCCATATTTATTTGCAAATATTTCCTAAACATTTGGAAAAAATAAAAATGACTCGGTAATTATCAAAAGAGAATGATGGTATTTTATTTTGTAAGTCCCGCAATTGAATTATACATGCGTTTAATAATTAAACTTTTGAAGCTTTATATATATATATATATATATATATATATATATTTAATTTTATTGGTTTCTTAGCACCGCGTATTAATTGTACATTATTTGATATGATATATTTTCATTGATCATAAATTAGAAGCGATTTTGTGATTTTTTCATTAGTTGCTTAGTCCAGTCATTTTAGCTTAAATTAGGTAAGAATTTTGGAATTCGAGATACCCAGCTCTAAGTCTGTAAATACTTGTATATTGACACCTAAAAGTTGTCTCAAAACCTACAAATGATAGGGTGTACGCAACATATGTAGTTTTGAGACAACTTTTAGGTGTCAATATACAAGTATTTACAGACTTACAGCTGGGTATCTCGAATTCCGAGGTGAACTTACTATAATGACTGGAATAACACAGTTAAAATGTAGCTGCATTTAATCAAAAAGTATTTGGTATCACTATGCCTACTCTTGTTAGCTTTAAATTTTGATGTTTTTGCAATTTGCCAATAGACAAAATTTTGTTTTTAAGATCTTTAATTTTTCTTTTCTATTTCCAGAGATTGGAAATTTATCCACCCCAAGCGCAAAACGTACAGCATCCGTCACGCCAAAGTTGGTAAAACTTCTTTGTTCTCAAAGGAAGTCCTTTACACATTGGTTTTGACCAATTTCCTATCATTGTTGATTGGAACTGGTGTTGGGTAAGTGTTCAACAAGTATTAAATGTAGTTGGTGTATACATACTATAGTGAGACTGGTATTAAATATAAAATTACTAAATATCAAGTTTAATTCAATAATTAAATATTGCTTTTATTTTTTGCAGAGTGTGGTTATCACGTCGCGGAATGTTTCTGACCCAAATCACTTTGGACTAAGATTTTCATAAGAATCTTTTTATGGAGAATATTAGAGACTGCTCAAAGTGTTTCATAGGATTGCAAAGAGAATGAGAATTTATTTCACACAGTTTGGACAAGGATTTGTATTGAGTAATATAACAGGATTAAAATGGTTAGAATACTGATGATTTTAAAATAATTATTTTTAGTTATATTTAGCTAAACATTAGTTTATATTACGATAATTTTATTTTTAGTATATGCAGTCACTTCATAGATAAATATGATTATGTTTTTTTTTTCAAATTTCATCACTTTTGCAATTTCCTATGGCATGACTGATCTTTGGTCCAATTTAAAAAGAAAATATTTATGTTATATATATTATTTGTATACAAAGAAAATCAATCAAAAAAATATTTTTGTATTAATTTCTATTAGATTATAGAGTTACAAGCTATTTAAAACATTACTAAATTCTATGTTTCATTTTATCATTTGGACATATGTTGATAATCATATCATGTTAGATTTAGGTGTGTAGTTTAATTATATAATTTTAACGCTTGATGAATATTATATTTAGCCATGATTCAAAATCACAGGTATATTCTATGGACAAGAAATAGTAATTGTGATAAATTAGAAAATGATTAAAGATTGTAGGATATTATGCATACATAGTTTACTTACTAAATTGATAATTTATAACTTTGTAATACTTAATGAATTAACAACTATACATAAATTTTTTGTGCTTTATGATTTTGTTGATTATGTTTCTTTTGTAATTAAAATGTTCAATTATTCAATTATTAGTTATGAATTCTTAAAGAATTTTTAGACCGTATTTTATTAATATGGTTTACGATGTATCTCAATTAAGAATCAGTCATATAAGCACAAGATTTTTATATGAAATGTATTTTATGATATGAATACCATAAATTACGTATTTAATATATTCAAAACTATCGTAGACTAGCATTTGTATGACAGAATTTTTTAAATAATGTGGTGTTTTCATATAAAGATTTGCTAAGATATGGCTTAGAATATTAAGTAACGCTATTTTGTAAACAATTTTTTGATGTGTGTTTTATAAATATTCAGTTTTTTTTGTTTGATACGAGGAAGAGGAAGTTTTTTGATGAATTTATATATTGTACTATATGAAATAAAATTAAAAATACATCCAACATTGCAGTGAACTTATAATTTATAACATATGACTCATTGAAATACTTACTAATTGAATATTTAAAGCTTTTTAAAAGTGTGAATAAGAAAATAAAGTTATACAGTGAAGGCCGGCTGATCAATGGTTATGTGTCTAACAGCTCTGGGTTGGGGCATGATTTGCGTAGTTGTTCGTACATGTTTATGGGCAAGTGATGCTTATATTTGTATAAATAGATTAATTTGTTCTCATTCTTATTTATACTAAACTTTAAATTCTTTAATCTAGGTTACTTTTTTATAATTAGTATAACTATTCACAGTATTATTTATTCTTTACATTTTTTTTTACAATTACTGATTTTGCTCATGAAATTGATTTGTTTCATTAAATTTTTGAAACTGCATTAGGATGAACTAATAATAGCCAAAATGTATCAAAATTAATAATCCTATATTGACATTTCTCTTACAGATATAAAGCAATATTTTCATCGATAGGAGAATTTGTGCAAATATCAATTGGTTCTGAATATTAACTTGCAAACTACTGATAACTCAAACTAATAATAACTTTCAACGTATCGTATGATTTCTTATACATTGTTTATTATTCACATATTTTGATTCAATTTTTGATTCATCTTAGAAGAGATAATATTTGGGTATGAGGATATTTTCAGTACCTTGAAGGCATTTCGAGTGTAATAATAGGTGCAAAATGAAGCAATCGTTTTTAAATTGATCACACTTAATATTGCTATTTTTATAAATAAATTTGTGTACAATCTCTATCATCTACAGTTGCTCATCATATATTAACTTGGATACATTCTCAATATATTTCCAGAGTAATGTGGACTCAAGTTTTTCAAGCAATTTTTGTGATTATGTGGATTGTAAAGCAAAATGTACAAATTTCAGCTACAAGCTCTTGTTACTGTAATTATGAAGATGCTTAACAAGAGTGAGATATAATATTTATTGTTATTGTTAGCTGTTGGCTCACGAATAACTAAATAAATGATGCTGCATCTCAAGTTACATACAGAAACCTTCGCATAAGATTTTTAGTTTTGCTTTACTTCCTTGATTATTCTAAACATATTCATTAGTGAAACATAATTTTGGTATAAACTGTAATCAGATTCATCTCGAGCATTGTACAAATTGATATTGAAGTTTGCGAAATGAAATGAATACATAAAATAACAATGATTATCATACATATTTATTAAAACAAGTTTTTTTATGATGATTTGAAGCCTAATTTTAGTTACCTAACATTAAATTTTTTTGATCAAATACTATAATAAATATATTTATAGCTATAATAAGTTTTCGACAGGGCATTCCATATGATGAATACATCATATTCTAATATTGTCTAGCGGGGGATCCATTACAGTAAATTGATTGCTTGGTTCTTGTACGATATCAATTATATTATAGGAATCTACTATAATACATATTTTTATGCATATTATTATTTTTAATATAATATATATTTTTATGTAATATTATAAGAAGTATATTAAGGGATAATAATATTATTAACTTCCCGTAGGGTAAGTTATTGTAATTGTCTAAAAATCTAAATTGAAAATTTTAACATTTCTTCACGTTTTGAAGATTTCTGAACATTATGGCATACCTCAGGAAAAATGGTTTGAATTCAAATAAATAATTTTAATTTTGTAATTTAGTTTATATAATTCTTATAAATATTATAGAAAATGGCCTTCATTTTAAATTCGATTAAGTATTTATAATAATCTATTTGAAAACGTTCAATATTCCTCGAATATTTTATTACGGTACGGGAAGTTCCAGCAATTTGCCTTAAGGCACGATGCCATTTACCACTAGTTTAAAATTTAAAATAACAAAACAATTTTCTAAACTTTTTGATCAACACACTAGATACCGCCATAATTCGGAACTACTGCTTTTGAAAAGCGCGCCAAATTATACAGTGACACATAAACGCAAACATTACTAGCCCATTTTTGACAGCATATGTGACAGTTTATTTTTCGATATCTTAATACAATAATCAGTGTGCTGAAATGGCAGATAATAATATCAAAAACCTTAATAATCCCTTGCTAAGTGCAAATATAACTGGTTTTTCAATAGAGGATTTTACCCAAAATCCAGTGTTGTTACCTGTTCCACCAAAACCTGTGCTTGTTCAAAGAGGTAAATTGAAACATAACCTATATTATCCATATGTATTATTATGTTTATTGATGAGGTGTTTGTTGTTTTGTTTTTGTTAATTGAAATTCGTTTAAGAGTAATGGGGAATTAATTAAATTTGCGGTATATCGTACATACTATTGCATTGATATTTGTTCATCTTTGAAATTACCTCCACGTTGCAGGTGTTTGAGGCGCGACGTTTAAAAGACAAATGTCTTTTCAATATAAAATACTGTTCAATATTAAATTGTCAATTTATGTCGCTATAAATTGGCGAAAATAGTCTCAAAGTTGTCATGGCATGTTTAAAGGTCATTTTGATACTTTCTATCAAGAATCTGATAAATTTGAAGCAGGGGCGTAGCGGAGCCCTGTATCAAATTTTTTTTTGGGGGCCCCCTCAGGTATGCCAGAATTTTCTCACAAAAATCTTCACTTATCAATATTCAGCTGTCTCTTTTCCGAAATTTCTACAAACTATTCAAATTCAATATACACATTTATTAAATCATTTATGGCGTTTGATAGTTTTTGATAAAGTTTATGTTTCTATGAACAATAATGATCTGACTGCTGTTCCTGTATCATTGAAGTATTTAACTTTTTTAAGAAAAAGTTAATGCTTTTGCCAGAAAATGTTTGTTTACAACGATAGGTCTAGCCGATTCCTTGAAATTGGAAGAATAGTGCTAAAATATTCATAAAAATTTGGAATAAATCTGAGTTCTTATACAAGGAATACAGAGATGATCATAAGATAATACAAATGATACAGAGACAGGTGTTTTGCTAAATGACTTTTCATGATTATTTTTACTTTTGTTATTTGTGAAATAAAATAAAATTTTCGTCGACGATTTCGGGAACACGGATGAAGCGATTCGAATAATTCAAAAAACATTCGATTCGTATCCATAAGGAGACGTGCTGATTAGTTTTTGGCAAAGGCAGGTATAGCCGTTCCGAAAATATGGGGCAAAAAGTGCCAAAAACGGTAACAAAGTTTTTAAGAGAACGGAGCGTCCGATTTGAATATTTTAAAAAACATTTTACTTGTATTAACAAGATGAAGAACTGATTTTCATGAAGGCAGGTCTAGCGGTTTCGGAGATCTAGTAAAAAAGTAAAAAAAAATGCCATTTGGCGGTCAAAAATGATCATTAGATATATGCACATCAATTTATCAGATATTTTATAGAGATTTTGACAATAAGTATAAATTTTGTTTACATTTCTATGGGTTCCGTACGAGTGTTTATCCGTTAGACGGCGACGCGGCGCTTACGTGCTTTGATATTTCGTCTCGAAGCGATACGATTGCTTTGAAAAAAAAGTTCAGAATTTCCAAAAGGTCTTGTTTTTTCAAAAAAGTAAGTTTTTGTCAAAAATTTATAGTTTCTCAAAAATCTAATTTTTTCAGAGTAAATTTTTTTCAAAAACGTTATCTTTTTTAAAAAAAATTTTTTGTACGGGAAGTTCCAGCAATTTGCCTTAAAGCACGATGCCATGCGCCCCACTAGTTATTATTAATATTTGCTTACGGACGTTGGGGGCTTCCCTGGCTCGGGGGCTCCGTATATTTGATACGGCTGATACGGCGGTAGATACGCCTTTGATTTGAAGACAACTGTGTAATATGTTGGGCGCCGAATAGCTTTTCTCTTCATCAACCAATTTCGTTAGATGTTATTGTAATATCATAATAATTTCAAATTAAACACAATATTTTTCATGTATACTTTTATTTTCCCGTTCATTAATACACTGAGATGCTGTCGTCTATACGAAAATTACACAACTGAGCAACTTAAAATTCCATTTCGGCTTTATATAGTTTGATTATTTAATTATCGGGGACAGTAATTTCCTTATATGTATGAGTGCAAAGTATGTGATTTCCCGATCGAAATTCATAGGAATTACTGCGTCGCAGGCTCACGTACGCATTTGGAAAAAAGTGCATCGAACCTATTTTGATTATAATACTTTTGATACTCGATATGACTTAATACAATGTAACAACAGTTCTTGGGATGAATACAATGTTAATCGGATATATGCGTAGCTTATATTATAGTTAGTAATATATTAGTTATAGTTAAACCATTGGGTCACAACAAATATTATATGTATATCACATTTTATTTGCTCCAAAGTTCCTCAATTACTGCGCAAAACAATTTTAATTTTGAACTGCTTTATTTATTATATTTACATTTTTATATAAAAGTTTAGATGGGATGATTAAAAATATATCTATATTCTGAGTTTGTGCGTATATATTACATATTTTATTCATGGTAACTCTATTAGAGCAATTTGTACTTTTGTTGAATCAGAATACATGCTCTGCCATATATACTTATGTATATATATATAAAGATTAAACTTAATTATTAAAAATGCTACTGATTAATTCTTGATAATATAATAATGTTATATAAATACTTACATACCAACAAAATATTTAATATTATTGTTAGAAATACCTGTTATGGTATTTTTAAAATTAATAGTTAGTGACTACAACATTCTTGTTCCATTGCAAAGCAATATTACTCGAACTAATTCTAATAAATAATTTTGTTACAATAATTTGATTAAATCATATATAATATAATAAAATATTTTCTTAATGTTAGTGTTAAATACTTGTAAATAAATAAGTCTTAGTTAAAAGTCTGATGTAAAAATCATAACTATTTTAAAGCTAAATAGTCTTTAGGCCTTGAATTGAAACTTACTAATAAAGTAAAACATACACATTACGTCTTTTGTGTTCTGCTTAATTTTTATTTGAAAGCCGAGTCTTATCTTGTGATGTAACAATAAAATTTGCGCGACTATTAGGAAAAAGTACGACCATAGTACATATTTTATGAATCATTATAAATTAAATTATTGAAATGTTTAACTATGACATATCATAAACTTTAGATTTTTTGTTCGACGTTGAAACATAATTTTGAAATGTTTATTTTCAACCAAATAGTCGAAATAATAAGCTGTGAATAATTAACAATTTTATATACGTTTTGACACTGTATATGTGTCGACACTGTATATGTAACGTGCCGAATGATGACACACGCTCAGTGTCGAAACGTACATAATGAATAGTTAATTATTTTGCTTATTATTTCGACTATTTGGCATGCAAATTAGTCCAGTCATTTAAGCTTAAATTTGGTAGGAATCTTGGAATTCGAGATACCTAACTGTAAGTCTGTAAGTACTTGTATATCGACACCTAAAAGTTGTCTCAAAACCTACATCTGGTAGGGTGTACGCAACATATGTAGGTTTTGAGACAATTTTTAGGTATCAATATACAAGTTTTTACAGACTTACAGCTGGATATCTCAAATTCCGAGGTGAAGTTACTATAATGACTGGACTAAATGAATATTTCAAGAATATGTTTCTACATCTAACAAAAAAATAAAAAGTCTATGTCATAGTTAACTTAAAAACATTTTTTTCAAAAACAACATAACCAGTTTTGAAGCTGAAGGAGTATTCTAGTGTAGAGACATAAATTTGAGGTTATTTTCAAATCATAAAAATGCAATCTTTTTTTTTATATACACAATTGCAACCCTCCAAGTAATTCAAAATGAAAAAAATGATTAATAATCTATAATGATGTCGTAATGGCATATAATATAATTAAGTAAAACTTTTTTTTTGACAATATGGAAACTGTTTGAAAAAATGATAATTTTTTTTACCACTTATTGAGTTTCACGAATTTTATAAAAATAGTAAAAAATGAAATTTAGGAATGAGGCTAGTATATGCCAGAGAGAAGTCTATAAAGAAGATTCTCTGAAAATTTGAAGTAAATCGGCACAGTAGAAATCGAGAAATCGTGGACATAAAAAAGACAGTTTTGAGAAAAATGGATTTAAAGTTTTGCAAGAGAAAGAAATAGAAGCGGATTGTCATGGTCAAACAGCTGTATCTCCAAAAATAATTTAAATTTTAAAATATCTTCTCGTACGCATATTCTTGAATAGTTAAACTTTGAAAATATGAAACAAAAGAATTTTTGATTTTTTGAATTTCTACACTAGAATACCTCCTTAAAAAAACTTAGTATTCAGCGTCATCTTTGATAATTTTTATATCTAATATTTTATGTTTAACACCAAAATTTGACTGGCATATTTTCGATATTTGACTGGTATATTTTCGATATTTTGTTCAATCTAATAATACGACGTATGTCTACCAATATTCAGTAAATTTTAAATCCTTGCTCTTTCTCCTCGGTATGCCGGCAAATCCCTTGATGCACGTTTACGCTTGAGACACGCAAGAACACCCAAGACAACTAGCACGACCAAAGCAATCAGTAACAGAATTCCGACGACTATCAATGCTATAGATGCCGAATCTAAATAGATATCTGAAATTAAAAGTACATAATTATTTATTGAATTTTATAATTAGTTTATAACAGATTTTTTTATATGCGCTATTCAGAATTTTAAACGCGAAGGCACATACACGGCGATCTACGAACATGTACACATATTACAGGCATTTATAGACTATTCTGTGAATACGTATAATATTATTAGATGTGTAATAGTTATTGTATTATTTAGAATTGAAAATTGTTAGGCTGGAAAATGGTTATTATCAAAAATTATGTGATTTTCCTAAAGTATGGGCACAGGCCAGGATAGTCAACCTCTATTTACAGGCTTTATAGTCGAAGAGCCAGTGAACTATTTGACTAACCTGTTTTCTCAAAGCTAGTAGTTTTTTTAATGATGACTATTATGTGACTATTATGTACTCTTCTGGCAGACCCTTGCACCCGTCAGAATGGGCTGGCTGTTTACATATACTTTCTGAACAGTTAAATACAAATACACCCTCAAAATTTGAGCCTTGTGGGAGCAGGTTATGACATTTTTTTTTTACATTTTCAAAATTGAAGGCATGATGACGCAATCGCAGAATGACTGCCAGAACGGCACTTTCTTAATGAACCGATAATAAAATATCATTGAAAAAATTACTAGCTTTGAGAAAACAGGTTAGTCAAATAGTTCACTGGCTCTTCTACTATTACCATCATGACATGTTTATCTCCTGAAATCATTGCATTTATCTAGGATCAATTTGAAACTTTTTATTTTATTTTAATTTGATTCTGCCATCTGTATATATAATTACATTTAGCAGAGAATGCTGACAAGTTGTTTACAATTTGTGATTTACAAATTAGTAGATACCCCCAGTGGCGTATCAACTAGAGCTAATATAATTAAAAAAAAAACTAAAAACAAAAGGGGGAAAAACAATAAAATGTAGTAAAATGAAAGTATTAAAGTTAATTAAATTATATTAGGTCTCCGGGTATTTTTTTAATTTGAAAAATAAAATTAGTTTTGTAATAATTTGGAAAGTGTTGCCAATAACCTTTCAACATCTTGTTGTGCCACTGTCTCCAGAATTTTGGCGGTACACAATGCTGTTGCAGTTTTTAGAACGTTTTTTTTTTTCATTTTAAACATTAACATTAGTGTTTTCAGCAATTTTAGGCGATTTCTCTGCACGAAATTTGTAAGATCAGCAGGTATAACTGAGTTTGATTTGTTGTATGTAATTTTTTTTATAGAAAACTTTCAATATCCAATTTTTTTCAAGGAGCAGTGTCTTTCATGGCGGGGTAAATCATATCAAATATTATATATTTCTTTCTTTTACTTTTAGTTTTACAAAAGTTGCCCCTTTATTAAGTATTGACCTCAGCCGATAGTAAAGAATTGATTTTAAATTTCAAAAAGAAAATAATTTTATATTTTGAAAGTTGTGGGTTATGTAAAGCAAATAAAAGCAAAAATAACTGAGCAAAAACCTAAAACTAAGATAAAATATACAATATATTATGTGATGTGATTTGTGTATCTTGGTTTTATAATACCTAAAGCTTTTTGTTCTAGAACTTCTTATTACATGTGGTATTTAGATTCTCAAAAATATTCCTAAAGAAAATCATTGTAGCCTAAAGTGATTATACACCGGTGAATTAATTTAACTGACACTAGTAACTAACTAACATTAAGAAATGTATAAAAATATGTCTCAAAATACAGTAATCGGCGTGAACTAGCGTATTATTATAGAAATCGTATTAAGCGTGTTTGTCAGAAAAATTATATTCTATAAGCCATTGGGATCTAGTTTTGATCCCCGTTTCATATTTTAGTGAGATGCTTTTTTTAGTGAGGTCGTTTTTTCTTGAGCCTTCTTATATGGATCTAACATCATATTCTTCTGGGTGATGGAAATCCGTGTTTAGTTGAAGCACTTTCTGATAATGTGATTAATCGATAACTGTTGTCGAAAAGTTCACTTATCGGTAATTTCGAATAATGGGCACTATAAATTTCTGTTGATCTATGAGCATTGTTTTTTCGACGCTATATAACAAACTCTCTTTTATTTCATATCTGTCAAAATTGAAATGTCATATCGGGTTCACTTTTGGGGTACATTATATATTTTCAGTATAATTGCATTTTATTACTAAGTGTGTGTTCAAGTTATTTGACATCACGCCGATTCGGGATTGGGGGATTAGTTCATTTCCAATGATGCAATAAATCAAAGGTTATGTTGCACGTTTTTTTAAAAACAAACAGGACAGAAAATATTTTTTGGATTTTGGGAGCAAAGCAATACATTGTCGGAGGTTAGTCGTAATTTGTAAATTATAATATAAATAATATATATATATATATATATATAATATATATATATATATATATATATATATATATTAGGGTGGTCCTTAATATGGACATTTTCGAAATTCCTTGCTCCCAAGAGCTCAAATGGTTCTAAATTGATAAAAACAATTCTCTGAAAGTTTTAGCTCTTAATATTGTCGTTTAGATAGAGCGCAATTCAATCAAAGTTTTGTATGGAAATAGCATGAAAAATTTTTGAAGAGCGTCGAATTTTCAATAAGAAATAACACAAAATTTCACTTTTAATTCATTTGTCGCTAAGCTATACTTAAATTTTTTTTTTAATTTTCAAAATTTTTTTCATGCAATTTCCATACGAAGTTTGATTGAATTGCGCACTATCTAAAAGTTAATATTAAGAGCTAAAACTTTCAGAGAATTGTTTTTTATCAATTTGGAACCATTTGAGCCTTAGGGAGCAAGGAAATTCGAAAATGTCCATATTAAAGACCACCCTAACAAATTAATGAATTAATTCTAGAGCCGAAAAAATTAAAAAAATCGGGTACTTTTTGAACACTTCATATAGTGCATGTCAATTTCATTCATAGTACAATTACTATAGAACTGCTTAAAAACGCTGATTCGAACATATACATGGTGCTTGAAACGTACAAAATAAATATTTAATTTATTGGTTTTCTTATCTTCAATGAATTGCCTATAATGAAAATAATTGATCACAGTGAATTCTTGTTAATGATGTGATCGAGTTATAAATACTGATGCTATACACGAAAAAAATATTAATTTTAATCTAGTACCGTTCATTATGGATTCGTTCATATTACAAAAGTATAAGTAGTTAATTAAAGTTAATTACCTGAGACATCGACAGTGTAGGAATTTTGGTTTCCGGCTACATCCGTAGATGTTAGTACAACTCTTGGATTACAACAAGAGGCACTGTAAAATGCTGAAACTTGCTCTTTGGTACCAGCACTGTACGAGCTGGTAACTAAGCCTTTTGGCACTGATCTCAAACTTAACAAACCTGGAATAAAGATTTTCGTACTGATTAAATAACTAAAATTTCATTTCCACAGTGAAATTCCTTTTCTAAACATTTTTATTACATGCATTTGAAATTTATTTATTTTGTGCAAATGTTGCAATGTTATGCCACCTTCTCGACATTATGCTGCTTTTTATAGCAATGTCTCAAAGACATTATTTAAGAAATGTTAATATTATATGCTGTTGCAAGAGCTTTATTGTGAACGTGTCTAATCGTAAGCAAATTTTACTTTGAAGTAATTTTAGTAAATCGCTTTTGACATACCGCTGTCGTAATCCCTTGCACTAATTTGCAAAGTCCATATTGCACCTGAACAACGATCATATTCCAACTTTCCTTCACATCTGCTACCATAAGTATATTCCAGTGTTGGTCGTGTGGTGTCATGCGAACCACCTAAGGTCGAAACCTGTAAGATGTAATAACAATATTTTATAAACCCAACCAACTCAGTGTAAGGCGGCATACATTTATCACGTGAGCCAGTTTTTAAGGATTTTTGGACCCCCCTCCCTCTTTGTGATACATGGTGATATTTAAAATTACCCCCCTCCTCGACCAAACATCACGTGTATTTTTTGGTACGTGAAAAAACTGTAAATCTTTTGAATTTTTTTTGAAAATATTTGAACTTTTTTTATGTTTGTTTATCATATATAACGATTCTGAATGACCGTAAATGTCGAGAAAGTATAATTAGAATTATTTTTTGAGAAAACTCAATTTTTGTTCAGAAAATCAAGATTAATCATGTATATTGGAAAGAAACAAAATCATTACAAAACCGCACTTTTTGCTTTCGATGTTCAAAGTTTGTTTGAAAAAACTATCATGAAGTATGTTGCTGATAAGCAAGAAAATTAAATGGAACTTCTATTCGCAGTTTTAACTATATTAATATAATAGAATGCACATGCACGAAGTATGAAGGGCCAGGCCCAGTTTAAAAAATAAATATCATTAGCAGGCTAACTAGCCCTTTCGCTACCTTCAGTATGCCGACCATTGCTTTAAGGTATATCACTCTGAGTTAAATTATTGAGAATTCTCAATTGTTATTATAATTTTTTAGTTTTTAGAAGTGTAATTTCAATGTTTGAATACATTGTCATCGATAATAATTATATAATCTCAGAATATGTTATTGTGCTTGGTTCGTTCAGTTGCGTTACTGGGGGGCACGCTGACTCGTATAGCAGTAAGGAAAGAGTTAAATAATACTACTAAGTATTCAACTCTTTTTCTATTTTTTATATATTCACACCGATTCCATCCTGAACATCAGCAAATTTTTGGCCGTACTTAAAAAATGTCTAAATCGTTGCCAATACATTGATTGGGCATCCGGGTATGAAGTAATTAACAAATATTAAAAATTTATTTTACTAACCTGTAGAAGCGCCGATTTTGTGGTTATATCACCTTGAGCATTTGCCCTAAATGTTAATCGGTCGACTAAGCCTTCTTGAGCACCGGGCTTTACTTGAATAAATACCAAAACGTTCACTGTTTGTCCAGGTTGTACGTACATTCTACAAATAAAATAAATATTTTCGTAATTTAAAATTACTACCACTAAAACTTTTAAATAAAATATTTTAAAAACTTCACCTGTCGGGTTGAATTCCTTGCAAAAAACTTTCTTCGTCGCTGCATGAGAAGAAATATAGTACGGCAAAATTTCTTTGGTTTGTAACTTCAAATTCCACCTTGAAAAATTAGAAATATGATATAAATTAGAATCATTGAAAGAGATTTTTTGATAGGTCGTTAGGCTAAATATTAGTAGGTATTCAACAAAATCGATTTTGATTTTTTTTGTATATTTGATCATTGTTGTATATTTTGAACATGGATGATGAAATATGAGTCGATTAGTGATTCAGAACGTGTTAAATTTTATCATTTCCACTTACTTGTCCTCGTGATTGAGGCGTCAAAATCAATTTAGTATTTTGACCAACTTCAATCAAAGTTGGACTAGCCAGTTGTACTTGATTTTTCGTTACATATGATAGTCTAGAGATATCAGCTCCTGCAACAATTAATAATAATAATTAGTAGTAAGATATAATGTACATATGAATATAATACTTTCATCATGGTATCTTACCATGTCATCTTTTCCCATTAATCTGACATAAAAATCTGAATCCGGAAGTTTTTCAGCAGCCAAAACAACTTCATCATCTGTTAGTTTTCCCTTCACTACCGAAGAGTTCGAAGATCTTGAAAAAAAATATACATAAATATTTAAAAAATAATAAAATAGGCCTTGATTTTCTGGAGATATTAAGTACAATACGATCTAAAATTTATTACAAAAGTTTTTTTTGTGACTTACGTATATGGCAAATTGGTAATTTCTCTTCCTGTGCTATCCACGATGGAGACGCCACCTATAGATTCTAAAGGTCCTCGTATTTTAATCGAAGTACGGGAGATCCATTTTTTCATCTGTAATTGTAAAGATAAAATTATTTTTTTAGTATGCACCTAAAATAAAAAAGCTTTAATCTAATTCGGACAAAATGCGTTTATAAAACTAAAACCGCGTAACATTTTAGTTTTTATTTAAAACTTGCACATTTCGTGCGTACGTTTGCTTTACATTGTAGCTCTCTGAAATCATACATGTTCTTAATTAGTTTATACATAATTAAATTTATCTAATCATATACATATTACGCTTCTGACAATAAAGGATGATAAGGAAGTTGTATAAAAATGTGTACTAACTGGTTATAAGCATGCGTAATTGTTGTTAAATGTTTTGGTAAATATTTTCATCTTCTGATGT